ACAAGCTCATAAGTGCCTGCACTGTTGACCTTCTTTAGAACAGAACTGTCCCTGGACTGTATCATAACTTTTGGAGTTGTCAGTTTATCATATCCAGCTTTGCTCAAGGCACTAAGCACTGCATCAGTTACGCTCAAGCCCTGCTCCGTTGCAAGGTAAGCTGCATTCTGAATGAGAAAATGAATCAAGAAAAAAATGTCAATCCCTCAAAAAATGAAAAATAGATGTGAGTCAACATAATGTTCTGCTAGTCCAAGGATGCAGATTTTAGAAGTCAGGGCACTCATAAGAAAGCAGATCCTGCTACTCAGAATAGCAATTGTGTCTTCATTTGCTTGTGTAAAAAACACTTGATGCAGTCAGCTCCCTTAAGAATATCTAGAATGTCGGAAGATTAGCTTGTGTGTTTTCCATTACTATTACTTTGCAAGTCAGAAGACCATGCTGTAGTTTAAAATAAAACTTGAAAGTTTTGAGAAGTGATTTATATAAGAAGGCAGTGAATATAAAGCACAGGAAATCCTAGCAGTTTGAGATAGAAGGAACTTCATGATGACATTAACATTCAGTTTTGTTTGCCCACAAGGATTTGTATTAAAAAGCTTTTGCAAACAGGAGTGAGCATGACATCTTGAATGATTCAGTCTTGAAAAGAATTCAATGAATGTACAGTGCTGCACACCCCTATCCTACATTGGGAATTTAGTACAATGATAAGAGGTATGTATGGTACAACACCACCTTCTACTAACAACTAAAGCTTTAGTTTGTAATTGACACATGGACCTAAGCCTAAATAAAATGCATTTTTCAGCTGCTATGCACCATGGATTGGAATGGAAACAATAAGGTACAAAAATTTCTTAGGCTGCGTTTATCATAATATTTTCCACAGTTGCCCTGAGCACAGCAATTACATGCATTCAGGAAACTTCAGATTAGGACAGTGATCTTTAACAAGTAATATCATGGAAAATAAAGAACTCACCTCTATGCTGATTAAGACACCAGAAAGAGAGCTAGCAGTTTTTGCTATGGCCAGAAGATCAGACAAAGTTACAAAATTTCCAGCATTTTTGAAATTTGGATTCCGAAACAAAAAGTACTTCGCCTGTGGGCTTGATATTGACGCTGCAGTGAAATATAATGGATAAATACAGGGATGTTGACCATAATGTTGAGGTTAACCATATCTATCTTAGAAAGAATATAGAATTAGCCATTAAAATCTCAGCGTATATAAATTGGTAGTACAAACTCCAAATGACTCCATCTGGTGCCATCCTTTTACTCTTCCTTAACTTGTTGGACAAATACACCTTTAGAAATTATTTTTCTCTTTCTTATATCTATTTTTACCCCCTTTTTCCTGTTTACAGTTTTCTCTTTGGTCTGCCTTGTGCAGACTTGCTGTGTGATTCAAGTTGATATTATTAATTTATTTATGATTCAAAAAATCACATTTCAAAAAAATAACAGTTTCTAAAAGAAGGAAAAATAAGAAGCTGAAGAAATAACTAATTACAACACAAACAAAAAAGAAGCAAATATAACTCACCTTTCAAGGTCTGAATTTCGCTCCATGTCAGAGTAAAGGTAAATATTCCAGTGCCTGCTTGAATCTCTGGAATCGTTGTTGCAAGGTTGCTGAAACTTGATTGGACAACATTTGTGCTATCAAAAAGATTAATAGACTGCAAGCAAATAGGTATCCCATCCTTTGTCATTTGGACAGGACAGTCAATAACATCTGCACCATCTACAATGGCTTTTGAGTATGCCAAGTCAGTGCATCCGGGGTAGTCCCCACTTGCTCCATTTTTGGTTATAATCAGTAGATCAGCTACAACAAGGCAAGGGATGAAAGTCGTGTCAAGAAGAACCTCTGGAGAATTGGTAGGACCAAAAATATAAAGTCTTGCGTCCTTTTACATCAAAAGTTGGCGAGATGATGCTTACCTTGTTTTGAAGCATTTCTGCCTAGGTGAGCATAGCAGTCTGGAGAATAAAAAAAAGAAGTTTCAATAAAGGTGGCCTTGATAAACCAAAGTTGTTGAGACTAGGTTACTGCATTGGATAAATGGTTTCACTTTTACTAAAAGAACTAGTGACTTGCCTATAGCTTCTGATGGAGTTATTGGAAAGTCAGATATCACACCATCAACAGAGAAGTCACCATTATCAATGAAACTTAAATACTCAGCCACTGGATCATAGCTGTAATTGAAGCTAAATTGAGCATCATTCGCAAAGTCTGATGCAAAAACTTTTAGCCCTACTTTGTGAGCATCTGAGACGACAGAGGTTAAAGGTAGCAAGTAATTACTAGAATCAACTGGCCATATGTAAGACTTTGGAACAATAATTCCTGAGGCAAATTTCTTGATAAATGTGAGATTCCCTAACAGAGAACCATAACTCTGGTTGGTTGAGGGCTCAATGTCATCTTGTTGCATAAACCTGAAGACCAGCTTTGTCTTGCTAGATGCAAAAGGTGCCAAAATACTCCTCAAGAAGCCAACCTCTGGTGAAGAGATGTAATCAACAATCACACTCTTAAATACATTAAGGACAAAGTTCCTCATACTCAAATTATGTTGCGTGTAAAATGCATCATGCTGCAAAAGCATCAAAGCACAAGGGTTAATAAGTCTGAAGAAGAACAAGAAGATAATGGCTCCATTGTTGAAGAAAGGAAAGAAAGTGTCAAACCAGGCACTAGTAAGCAAGCAGTTACAGAATCAGGCCAGAAAAGATAAAATAAAAATTAACAGGCTTTCTAATTAACCAACCAATTTACCTGAACATTCAACCAGAAAGCTGATTGGTTAAATTGATAAACCACATCTTGAACAGCCATAATTTTTAACGAATTGCCATTAAACCGTTCAGTCCGAGAATAGATTCCTTGAGTTACTGTCCATGAAAAATAGAACACATCAGAATGATCAGCAGAACATATCCCTCTAAGTGGGATTTCAATAGAAATTGAGAAAGGGATATGAAAAAATATGGATGCGCTTAACAGGAAAGATTTCCAAGGTCACTGAAGGTGTAATCCACAGAAAACCATCCGTTAACAGGAACACCATTAACCTGGTAAACCTTCTGCTGATTGTTAAAAAGTGGAATATAACTAATGTCAGAACCATTAGCTAGATTGAGATTAGGAAAGCAAATCCCAACTCCATCTTTGGTTAACTGAACATCACACCATAATATGGCATCAGGTACACTAGTTATCAACACCAGGTAATAAGCATCGTAACTAGAATCTGGAAATACTCCTGAAAATCCACCACGTGCAACAACCAAAGGTGCATCCCCTGCAAAACCAATCAAACAGGTACCTGTTAGATTACTGAATAAATGAATATACAGTACAGAATTAAAAAAAAAAAAACTTTTGGGTAGTAGAAATTATTCTTGGTGAACCCAGAAAAATTTCTCTTTAGAGATCAAAACAAATTTTCCACCCAAGAAAT